GCTGTCTGGTCTAATTAACATATTACGCTTTTATTATTATTATTTATTATTATAGACTAGAGGCCCGATGCACAAAATTCATGCAATTCTTTCCCCTGTCTGCTGGCACTGGCTTCCCTCTGGCACCGGCTTCGTCTGGAAGGTTGCCCATAAGGATGTCCGGTCTAATTAGCATATTACGCTCTTATTATTACAGATTTTAATCAAAAGCATCTTTATTTTTGTTTAAACAATTAAAACAGTAAAGTAGAAATGAAAGTTACTTAGCAATTCCAGGGAGATGATCATAACAGCTTGATGGATTAGAGATTTGAACTTTTAAATGGGATCGATTGTGACTTTTTTCTTTACCAGATTAAGGAAGTTTTCTGCCATTATTTCTTCATACACCTTCTCTATGCCTTTCTCCCTTTCTGCCTCTTCTGGCACACCTACTATTTTAATACTGTTACATTTCACATTGTACCACAGCTCCCCTTCTGTTTTTTAATTGTTTTTTCTTTTTGGTTCTCTGATTGAGTGTTATTTTCAACTCTGTCTTTTTTTTTTAATATATTTTATTGATTTTTTACAGAGAGGAAGGGAGAGAGATAGAGAGTTAGAAACATCGATGAGAGAGAAACATCGATCAGCTGCCTCCTGCACATCTCCCACTGGGGATGTGCCCGCAACCCAGGTACATGCCCTTGACCGGAATCGAACCTGGGACCTTTCAGTCCGCAGGCCGACGCTCTATCCACTGAGCCAAACCGGTTTCGGCTTCAACTCTGTCTTTTAATTCACTGATTCAATTCTCACCTTCCCCTAATCTGCTGTGTATTCCTTCCAATGTATCCTTTATTTGTGTTATGTCATTCTTTATCTCAGACTGTTCTTTTTTCTTAGTTACTATATCTTTTTTCATGCTGTTGAGCATGTTTACCATCATTACTCTGACCTCTATTTCAGATAAATTTCTTATCTCTGCTTCATTTATCTCTTCTTCTGTAGAATTCTCTAGTTCTTTCATTTGGGGGTTGTTTCTTTGTCTCCTCATTTTGGCTTTCTGTTTGGGTTTGTGACTTCGTATTAGGTAGATCCTCTCCAAGCATGTCAAACTTGCAGCCAGTGGGCTGCATGCCTCACCAGCTGCAAGTTTGACATGCTTGCTCTACACCTCTCAATCTCTAGTGTAGGACAGTGTTAAAGGCTGTTTCTGACTAATTAGATCAGGCATAGACTCAAAGCCTCCAGAGACCACCTCTGCCTACAGACTGATAGGATTCTGACTTGAATTGCCCCCCAGGCAATGGTCCTCTGGTGTGGGGAGAGTTGTTTTCAACAGGGTAGGGCAGTTGCTTCTGCCTGGAGGCTAATTGTTATTTTTTAATCTCTTAAGTAGCCTCAGGGCAAGGTGTTTTCCAGTAGGATGTGTCAAATGTCTTCCTTCCCAGGCAAGGCAAATGTCTATGTGGGAAAGATGACCTCGGCTGGGTGAGGGAATGACTCAGCCCTGGAAACTTGGGGTGTCTGCCTTCTGAGTTCTATCTCCCGAGTCCCCAGTCCTGGCTTCTGCCCTCACAGCTCCAGTCCACTTCACCCTCCCTCTGCCAGAACACAAGGTGGGTAGCTCCACAGGGAGTTTAGTGCACTTGCCCTTTAAGAGGGTGCCCGAAGTTTTAGCTGTTACTCCCTGGCAGACAGCACCCTGCTGTTTTCATAGCCAGATGTTATGTGAGTACTCTCCTCAGTTTTGGTGCTCTCTGCTGGGGGGTCCAGCTTGGGGATTAGATCCCAGAGTTCTCAGTGGCAACCCCAACAGCTGAGATGTATCTCTGGGACTTCAGTTGCTGTCTGTAGGTGCCTGGCCAGCCCTTTCTTGATTTATTCTTGATCCATGGGTTACTTAGACATACATTGCTTAATATCCAAATATTTTGGTATTTCCCCAATTTATTTCTTGTTGACCTATAATTTTTTCTTTTTGTTGACTTATATTTTAATTCCATTATGGTTGGGAAACATACTTTGATGATTTCTGTCCTTCTGAATGTATTGAAATGTGTTTTATGGCTGCCATTTGATCTATCCTTGAGAACTGTCCATATGCACTTGAAAATTGTATATTTATGGTACAGTCATTGGGTTGAATGTTTTAGGTTGAGTTGGCCGATTATGTTTTTCAAATCTTCTATATCCTTGATGATTTTCTGTCCAGTTGTTCTATATGTATAGATATCTCCAACTGTTATTGTTAAATGATCTATAATCTCCTTTCATTTTGTCAAGTTTTGATTCATGTATTTTGATGCTCTGATGTTAAATGTGTGTATGTATTTATCATTGTTATATCATACTGATACATTGACCTCTTTCTCATTATGAAATGTCTTTTTATCTCTTGTAATATTTTTGTCTTAAATTCTATTTTTTCTGATATTAATATAGCCACTCCTGATCTCTTATGGTTACTGTTTGCATGATATATTTTCCTTTCATCCTATTTGTATCTTTGAATGTAATGTGAGTTACTTCTAGATAGTATGTAATTGGATTTTACTTTGATTGGGATGTTTAATTGTATTTATCTTTGCCATTTTTTGTTTGTTCTATGTAAGTCTCCTGTCTTTTTTGTTTCTCTCTTCCTCTTTGCCTACTTTCTTTTGTGTTAAGTAAACATTTTCAGCATATCATTTTAATTTCTCTGTGAATATCTTTACTTTTTCGCCATTTTTTCTTAGTCATTACTCTAGGGATTAGAATATACATTTTAATTTGCTACTTCAGATTAATACTAACTTAATACTAGTAAAATAGAATCTTTGCTTTAATATAGTTGCATTTTCTCCCTGCTCTTGTTTGCCATTATTGTCATGTATATTACATGTGTATGTGTAATAAATCCAATAATGTAGTATTATAATTATTGCTTCATACAATTTTATGTCTTTTTAAAACAGTTAAGAGAAATGAAAATAATGTATCTATATTATCTTTTATATCACTTTATGTATTTACCATTTCTAGTCTCTTTATTTCTCCTTGATTATTCATATCACTGTTTAGAGTCAATAGTTCAGTCTAAATCAGATCTATTAGCAGTGCATTCTCATTCATTGCTTATCTGGAGATGTCCTTTTTCAGCCTTCATTTTTGTAGGATAGTTTTGCTGGATATAGAATTCTTGAATTTTTATTTCAGCACTTTGAATTTGACATTCTACTACCCTCTCGTCCATTGTTTTAGGTGAAATGTCAGCCATTAATTGTATTGATGCTCCTCTATTCAAGGTGATCAGTAGCTTTTATCTTGCTGCTGTCAAAATTTTCTTTGTTGTATGTTTTTACCAGTTTGTGTCTATCTGTGTGGGATCCTTTTGTATTTATGCTGCTTGGGATTTGTTGAGCTTCTTAAGTTCATAGATTAAAGGTTTTCATCAAGTTTAGGAAGTTTTTAGCCACTATTTCTTCAGATATTCCTTTTGCCCCGTTGTCTCTCTCCTTTCCTTCTGAGACTCCTATTGTGCAAATGTTGCTACACATGGTCATATTCCACAGGTCTCTAAACCTTTGTTCTTTTTCTCCATTCTTTTAAAAAAAATTTTCCTCAGCTGGGTTATCTCAGGTTACCCATCTTCAAGTTTATGGTTCTTTCTACTGCCAGTGCAAATCAACCATTAAACTGCAGATTTGAATTTCTGACTCCAGTTATTATACTTTCCAAATCCAGAATTTCTATTTGGTTCCTTTTAAGAACTCATTTCTATCTCTATATTAATATTCTCTTTGGTGCGGCATGATTGTCATACCTTTAATTCCCTTTTATTCTGTACACATGGTTTCCTTTACTTCTTTCAGCATATTTATATTAGTTGACCTGAAATCTTTGCATAGTAAATCCAGCATGTAGGCTTCCTCAGGAATAATGTTCATTGACCATTTTACTCCCCCCCTCCCCCGCCTCCAATACATGGGTTATATTTTGCTATTTCTGTGTATCATAAATTTTTGTCAAATATTGGATATTTTAAATTATTTGATGTGAAAATTCGGGTGTTCAGATTTCCCCTTTCCCTATGCTCAGAGTTTGTTATTGTTGCTGTTTGTCGTCGTTGTTTGTTTACTGACTTTCCTGGGCTAATTCTGCAGCTTTTATTTTTGATCATGTGCAGTCATTGAAGTCTTTGCTTGGTTAGCTGAATCGTCAGATAATGATTTGACATATTTTCTTAAATGCTTTAAACCAGCATGTCTTTCACCCTTTTCCAGTGGGCATTTTGTGTGTTGGGGCATGCCTTCCATGCTCTTGCAGTTTATAACTCTGCCTTAGGCTTCACTTCCTGCTTGCTCAGAACCTCAAAGTCAAGCATAGGTGAGAAATTAGGGCTCTGTCAATCTTTCCTGGGCATCTGCACAGCCTTCCACATGCGCATGGCCTTTTAGATCCCCAGGAATATGTCAGAAATTATCAAAGCCCACTATGGACATCTTATGCCTCAGATTTTCCTTTAAGTTTTTTGTGTGCAGATTTTTGTTTGTCCCAACTGGAATCACTGCCTCTGGCAAATACAATGTTAAACAATTGCCACTGGTTTTGCAGGACAAACTCCCTGGGGATATAGGGCTTTTTTCACGAAATGAGCTATGAGTCAGATAAAATAAAGATTAGCTCCATGAATGGGACTTTTCTAGGGAACACTAGTCTGATCAAATAGTGACAGTTCTTGGGGGCAGGGCTTTTGAGGGAGCTCCAAACACACTTGCCTCCTCCAGTCGCTGCTGGGCTTCTGGCTTTTTTAACTATGAGGATTGTTGCAAGCTTTTGCTAATTTCTAGAGTGCTGAAAAAGTTGATTTTGAAAATTTATGCCAGCGTTCTTGTTTTTTATGGAGGAATGGATTTTCAGAGGTCCTTCATCCATAATTCTAAAAGTGCTTTTCAATCTGTCTGTTTTCAACTACTGTGCATATTGCCTCTGTTGTTTTTGATATCTAATGATGGTCTATTTATATTTACTGACAGTCATGAAAGTCCATTCTTTGATTTCATTGAGAGCTGCTTGCGAAATAAACATGAAATGGTTATTTATGAAGCTGCTTCAGCTATCATTCATCTTCCTAACTGCACTGCAAGGGAGCTGGCACCTGCTGTTTCAGGTTGGTTATATATTTAATAGCTGGTTTTTGTTTCTATTCTTATGTTTGTTTTAAGCACCAAAGGTCTTCAGGATAGGTATTAGGAATGATTTTTGAATCTTAGCTCTGTATATATAGATGGCTTTGCATTCTGATATGTAGATGATTATTTTAGTTGCTTTATTTCTTTTTGTGAAGTTTCCCCATATAAAACATTTAAAAATAACTTTAATGCCTTCAGTTCTTTGTAATGTTTAAAAAACCCATTTGCTCTTATAACTATAAATATTCCTACCACTCATATACTGATGGGTATATTAATCCTTTTAGAAAAAAGAATAAACTTTGTATTCTCTATTTAAAGTTTGTATACCTCAACAAAATGTGCTTTTTCTATTTTTGATGACACATTTTTCATGTGAAATTTTGATGCTGTAATCTAATTTCCTTATGCATATTTTGAATATGATTGTTCATGCACTATATTTTAAAATATATGCTCTATGACGAAATGAGCTATAGTCAGTGATCTTTTTTCTTTTCTAGTTCTTCAGTTGTTCTGTAGCTCTCCGAAGCCAGCTTTGAGATATGCAGCTGTGAGGACCTTGAACAAGGTAGGTCATTTATATCAATGTTTGATTGAGAAACATTAATTGTGAAGTGTTTGGCTTTCTCTCCAAGGTTAGTAAGTATGATTTATTAGCTTTAGTTCTGTAGTATCTCACTTGTATTTGTGGCCTTAGATATGGCCATTTTCACTATCATTCAACTAAAGATTATAATTCATTTCTGACTTTTAAGCACTTTATAGTGCCATATTGTCCAATATGATGACCTTTAGCCATAAGTGGCTGTTTCCATTTAAATTTAAATTAAATTAAAAATTCAGTTCCTTAGTTACTAGTCACACCTCAAGTGCTCAGGAGCCATATGTGGTTAGTGACTATTCCATTGGATGGTGTGGATATAGAACATTTCTATCATTGCAGAAAGTTCTCTTGGATATGCTGGTCTATAGTAGGAACATCCAATAGAAACAAAATGGAGTCACATACGAAAATTTAAATTTTATAATAAACACATGAAAAATTTTTTTAAAGATGAGATTAATTTTAATAATACATTTTATTTAACCTAATATATATTTAAAATGTCATATTAACATGTAATCAGTATAGCATTTGAAAAGATATATTTTGCCTTTTAGTTTTTTCCTTCTAAATCTTACACATCTAGTGTTTTTTCTTAAATATTTACAGTATATCTCAATTTGAACTATCCACATTTCCAATGCTTAGTAGTCACATGTGGCTATTGACTACCATGTAGCATGGTTCTAGAGACTGCATTACAGAATAAGTTAAATAACCATAAAAATTTTAAATGAAAGTTTAATATAGTAGACGACTTGTCATAAGGTGGTGAGTGATTGGTTATGGGTTAATTATGTGAATAATTGGAGGACAGAGAAGTTTAGAGCAGCCAAGGAATAGCAATGTGAATTGTATTCAAAGAGTTGGTATAGGTCCACATTCCTTCATCTGTGACTTTGGAGCCAGATGTGTCTAGGAATTCTGTATTTTGTGAAATTTAGAAAGGTTCTATGATGCTATATCTTATATACTAACCCCATTGAGCCTGGAGCTGTAACCACCATTAGACACATTAAAATTTCTGTATGATAATATGATTATCCTTGGTAAGTGGAATAAAATAAGACTTAATTAGTTTTACAGTAGTTTGGGTCATATTTTGCGGTTAAGTGAATTTTGAGGCAGTACTTTGCTGTTTTCAAATTTTTTTATTGCTATAGGCAGAGAGGTAAATGGCACCTACAAAAAGAAACTGAAGAATGGCAGACATGTTTTAGTGACCATGAGCAATCCAGTTTGGATGGAATTTGTTTGTTTAAATACAGAAGTGTTTTCTAAGTGATAAGATATTAACAGTCTTTGAGCAGTATTTACCACGTGAGGTCCTATTTTCAGAGAACCTAACATCCAGTCGAATGGGTATCAATGTGCACAGGTACTATAAGGAAAAACAGGCCAACTGTAATAAAAGACAGACTGTAATATTGTTAGAAAGATTATACAAACCTGGGAAGAAAAAGTGCTATCCTGTTCTTTGACTATGATTGTTAATCATTCATCAAATGATATATCATACCTTTTTAATTGGAAACATTCTTTTTGAAACAGTTTTAACCTATATTGTCCCATTCAGTTTTTAAAAAGCCACTTACCTTAAATTACAATTTCTAGTTTTCTCTTCTTTTTTTTATTTTTATTAAATTCTGGTTTTTATCAATAGCAATTTGCTTAATATTTTTCTTGCCCTTCCACAAGGTGGCAATGAAGCACCCCTCTGCTGTGACTGCCTGCAATCTGGACTTAGAAAACTTGATCACAGACTCAAATAGAAGCATTGCTACCCTGGCCATTACTACACTTCTCAAAACAGGAAGTGAGAGCAGTGTGGACAGACTAATGAAGCAGATATCTTCTTTTGTATCTGAAATTTCAGATGAGTTCAAGGTAAGAATACGATCATCTTTTCTTCCAATCTCTATGGCTTGCCTATTTCTTAACAATATCTTTTGATGAGCAAAAGTTTTAAATGTTTATGAAGTCTAATTTATTAATATTTTTTTTGTTTCATAGTTATTGCTTTCTGTGTCCTGAGAAACCTTTGGCTACTTCTACATCTTAACGATATTTTCTTATGTTTTATTCTTAATATTTTGTGGTTTTAGCTTTTATATTTTGATCTGTGATCTAACTTGAATTGATATTTGTGTATTATGTGTGATAAGTTCAGTATTTTCCCATACCAATATCCAGTCATTCCAGCATCATTTGTTGAAAAGACACATTGGCATGCTTGGACATCTTTGTCTGAAAAGCAGATAACCATAGACTTGTAGGTATATTTCTGGGCTCTTTATCATATTCCATTGATCTATTTATCAGTACTATGCCAATACCCACTGTATTTTATTATAGTTTTATGGGTACCTCTTCAATGTCAAGTAGTGAAGTAATGTGGTCTTTAAACTTTGTCCTTCTTTTTAATAATCTGTTTCTTTGCATTTCCATATAAAATTTAGAACCATTTTATAATTTCTATAAAACAAAGCCTGTTAGGATTATGATTGGGGTTGTGTTGAATCTATAAATTAATTTGGGAAGAACTGACATTTTAATAGTATTAATTCTTCTAGTTCATGAATATAGTATACCTTCCTCTTTATTTAGGTCTTTATTCTGAGCAGTGTTTTGTAGCATTAATTCTAGAGGTCTTGCACATCTTTTGTTGAATTTATATCTGAATATTTTATGCTTATGACTCTATCTTATTAAAATTTCTATTTCATTGTTTGCTACCAGTATGTTAAAAAAATCTCTCTCTCTCCCTCCCCCTCCCCTCTCTCTACTTTCCCATAACTTGGTATCCTTGTAAAGTACCCTTATCAGTTCTAGTAGTTGCTCTATACATTCCTTAGGATTGTCTATATAAATAATCATGTCATCTGTTAAAAGAGACAGTTTTACTTTTTCATTTCCAATCCAAAAGCTTTTCTTTTCTTTTTCTTGCCTTATTGAAATGGCTAGGAGTTCCAGTACAGTGTTGAATAGAACTTGTGAAAATGTGTTAGAGACAATCAGAAGAATAATAAATTTCAGCTCTAAGAACTAAAATAGAAAGACCTTATTCTTTTGTCTTATTTCTCAAAGAGTATAATTGACCCTGTTTACTCTGTTATAGGATATATCTAGTCTTTTAAACGACAAGCCTAGCCTGTATGTTTAAGCAGACATTTTGAATCTTTGGGAAACCTATGAAGGTCATTTTGTACTATAGCTTATTGAATGAATCTCCTGTGCTTGAGCATTTAGAGTTTGCAGTATTTTGCAATTACAAAGAACGCTGCAGTGGATAACCTTGTGCATTTGTTTCCTTGAAATGTTAGCGGTGTATCTTTAGGGTAAATCCCTAGAAGTTCATATGCTAGGTTGAAGGGTAAGTAAATATGTAGTTTTGTAGAGAAAGCTAAGTTCTACCAGCACTGTATGAGTGTCAGTTTCCCCTTAGTCTCACCAATGGAATGTGTTACATTTTGACGTTTGGCCAACCTGATGGATATAGTTTTAATTTGGATTTATTTTGTTATGAGGGAAGTTAAACATCTTTTCTTACATTTTAGGATCATTTAATATTTCTTTTTAAGTGTTGTCTGCTCATATATTTTCCCCATTTTTATAGGTGTCTTGGTTTTTTGTTTCCTTACTTATTTAAAGGTTTTTTTGTATATGTATATTAGGGATATTGGTTCTTTATCTATGAAATATGTTATTTTTTCCTAGTTTGCTATTTGTCTTTTGACTTTTTTATGACATCTTTTGTCATGCAAAAGTTTATTTTGCTGTAGTCAAATTTGTCAATCTTATCTTTTATTGCTTTGACTTTTGAATAATAGCCTTTCTCTTCAGATTATAGAATCTTAATGTTTCTTCTGGTATGTTTACAGTTTCACTAGACGCCCCATGCATGAATTCGTGCACCAGTGGGGTCCCTTGGCCTGGCCTGCGGGATCGGGCTGAAACCAACTCTCCGACATCCCCCGAGGGGTTCCAGATGGCGAGAGGGTGCAGGCCAGGCCGAGGAACCCCACCAGTGAACAATCGGGGCTAGGGAGGGACGTGGGAAGGCTCCAGGATGTGTCTGGCCCGACTCACTCAGTCCCAATTGGCCAGACCCCAGCAGCAAGCTAACCTACCAGTCGGAGCATCTGCCCCCTGGTGGTCAGTGCACATCATAGTGAGCAGTTGAGTGGCCTTAGCATATCATTAGCATATTACGCTTTGATTGGTTGAATGGCTGACTGGACGACCAGACACTTAGCATATTAGGCTTTTATTATATAGGACCAGAGGCCTGGTGCATGAAATTCGTGCACGGCGGGGGGTGGGGGGGTGTCCCTCAGACTGGCCTGCAGCCTCTCCAATCTGGGACCCCTTGAGGGATGTCTGACTGCTGGTTTAGGCCTGGCCTGTGGGATTGGGCCTAAACTGGCAGTCGGACATCCCTCTCACAATCTGGGACCACTGGCTCCTAACTGCTTGCCTGCCTGCCTGATCACCCCTAACCCCTCTGCCTGCCTGCCTGATCGCCCCTAACTGCCTCTGCTTGCCGGCCTCATCACCCTTACCTTGCCCCCCTGCCGGGCTGATCACCCCTAATTTGCCCCCCTGCAGGCCTGATCACCCCTAACCACCTCTGCCGCAGTCCCTGGCCTAAGCCGCAGTCTGGCCTCCCTCTGTGGGAGACGACCTGGCGGATCAGGGGAAGGCGCCACCCTCATTACCCCGCTGCTGTTGTCACTGCTGGCCTGAGCCTGGGCCCTTTGCAGCCACTGCAGCTTTGTCCAGAAGGATGTCCACCCTAATTAGCATGTTATCCTTTTATTAGTATAGATAGATGTTTTACATTTAGATCTCTGATCTATTGGATTATATTATATATGAAATGAGAAATGGATCTAATCTCATTTTTTTCAATAACCTGTTGCTCCCAATCCCCCATTTTTATTCAATAAACTTTTTGCTTGTTATTTAAAACTAATAGCCCAGTGCACGAAATTCGTGCACATTAAAAGGGAATTAATTGCCCTAACCGGTTTGGCTCAGTGGATAGAGCATCGGCCTGTGGACTCAAGGGTCCCAGGTTCGATTCTGGTCAAGGGCATATACCTTGG